TTCGAGGCTGTAAGAGTGGCTCAGTTTCCAGAAAGGGACCAAGATAGACATTACTCACAATTCTTCGAAAGGTATGTGTATCCACTCCGTCCCTCGAGAGAGAGCTACATTGTCCCTCGATAGATGCTTGACCATCCCGCGCGATGCGCCGCAGAGTATAGCAGGCGTGGTGAGGGTTATGACATCTTCACCTGTCGAGTCAATAGGAGCTTGATCTACATCTGCTTCCGTAGATTCCTTCTTCCATTTCCACACAGGGGCTTTTTTCCTTCGTAAGGTGAATTGTCCCAGTCTTGGCAAGTATTTAGACGCCTCGTCAGATGAAGAGACCGATTGTCCTGTGATCTCAAACTGAGCTTGAGGAAGGGGAAAATATGACCGTTTGGGTATCGTTGGTGGAGGTTCCTTCTTTCTAGGGACCTTGACCTTGGGCTCTTTTGGTTGCCGAGTCTTAGGCGGCTTGGTTGAATCCCCCTCTAGTTGAGTTGGAGTCAATGAACCGGATGTATCTCCTTCATGGGACTCTTGTTCCATGAGTATAGCTTGAGATCTGCTGGATGCGAATGATTTTGAAAATACTCTCGAGGTGAAGTTGAAAGGCGCGGTGTATCTTGGCAAAGTTGGATAGAATAGGTGGTAGTGATTAGATAGAGAAGAGATATATCGAATTATGGTGAAGATGGATTTCGGTCGACGCCGAAACTGGTACAAGGATGAATGATGAACTGGAAAAGGTTGCCCAACGCTACCTGCCGCCATTCCTAACTTGGACTTCACCAAATCTAGCACTTTTATATCGTTGTTGGCTTTTTCGGAGAGCTGATATTTTCCACCGCTCGACCTGGAATGATATAGGTCAAGGAAATTTTCTTTCAAGTAGCAACTTTCAGGAGCACCATGGACACGAATGAATGGGCTAGTCGAATCAAAAGAGTGTACATGTACAAACTCCCATATACGTCCCTGATAAAGAGGCTATGACTGCGCTAAGCAGATCGTGAATCTCAACAGTAATCAATGGAAGGAAGCTATTACACATGGATTTCTACTAGGTGTCTTCACCATCTTGCTATGTAGAGTCCATAGCATGCACATTTTTCTGCAGGATTGAGAGCCTTGTTTGTATCTTTGTTGCCTCGGAAATGCGCCCCTCCTTGGTATATGTGAGAGCAAGGCTCTCCATAGTGGATAACGTGTCGTTGTGGGTTTCTCCGAGTACCTCCGTTCTCCCAGCGATGACCGTTAGCTGAAGCTCTTCAGCTTGCGCGTATCGTTGCTGGGCACGGTATGTGGATGCTAAATTATGCATCGCTATCAGGGTGTCGGGGTGGTTCTCACCCAAAAGCCGCTTTCTCACTTCCACAACTTTGGACTCCAGCTGCTCTGAATTGGCGTATCTTTCCAAAGAATGGTGCGTCGATGCCAGATTGTGCATGGCTAACAAAGTGTCCGGGTGATCAGGTCCCAGAATCTGCATTCTCGCAGCCATAACCTTCGTTTCTAATGCCTCGGTATCTGTATATCTTCCTTGACAATCATAGGTCAGCGCAAGGTCGCACATTGCCGAAAGAGTGTCGGGGTGGAACTCTCCTGCAAGGGTTCTTCTACGAGTTAGGACTAGTAGCTGCAGTTCTTCTGCCTTGGCATAGGCCCCTTCACAGAAATAGGTCGATGCTAGACTAGACATGGTCAGTAGTGTATCTGGGTGATCTTCTCCCAATGCCTTTCGCCGTTTCGTTAACACTTCCGCTTGCAGTACTTCAGCCTCTGAATATCGCCCCTGGGAACGATAGCACGACGCAAGTCCATACATTGCCAAGAGAGTGTCAGGATGATCTTCTCCCAAGCTGTTTCTCCACCCTGAGAATACTGCACGTTGCATCTCCTCCGCTTCTGTAAACCGCCCTTGAGACTGATAGTTGAATGCCAAGTTGTGCATCGACAGCAACGTGTCAGGATGGTCTTTCCCTAATATTTCGATCCGCTTCTTTAGTACTTCCTTCTCCATCTCTTCCGCTTCGATATACCTCCCTTGGAAGTCATAGATGGATGCCAATTCATGCATTGACAAGAGGGTATCGATATGATTCTCCCCATATATCGTCTTTCTAGCTGCTAGGACTTGAACTTGCAACTTCTCTGCTTCAGGATATTTACCCTGACACTGATAAATGGAGGCAAGGTTATACATGGCAAGCAGAGTATCTGGGTGATTGTCACCCAAATGCTTCCTTTTCACAGGAAGTACCATGTATTGATATTTCTCTGCTTTTGGGTAGTCGTGTGCAGCATAGTAACTCAATGCTAATGCGTGCATTGTGTTAACGACGCGGGGATTCTCATCGTCATACAAGCTTTGGAGCCTCTGTAGAGACTTGAGCATCATTTCCTCTGCCTCTTTGAACCTTCCCATTTCGACATAGGTCCCTGCCAAGGAATCAGATGCCAATTGTGTCTTTTCGTCATCTGGACCGAGGACATTCTCGAATATGGAGAGGGCTTGCCTCTCTAAGGCCTCCATTTTCGTCAAATCTGTCGAATGCGTCCATGCAAGCTCAATAGTGACACTCGCTAAGGCTACTCCTGCAGGTCCTTCGGTGCTCTGCAAAGAATGGTAGATGGAGGACCATACCTTTCTCGCATCGGAAAGATGATCCATCTCCCGGAGTATGCGACCTATTGCTGCTTTGTCGTTGATGTGGAGTCTTTCCCAATGCGGATTAGATATGATCCGTTTGATGTGAGGAAGAAGGTAGGGCTCCATCCAGCGCTCTCCTTGCCCACAAGCCAGGACACGAGCGGCAGAGGAGAGAAGAAGGAGGCCCCTCTCAGACGGGATTCTGTCATACACCCAATCGCAGAATAGAGGATGTAATCTTAGCAGCTCGGTCTTGAATCCAGACGTGAACGAAGCCATGGAATAGCTTTGTAAAGTCCGTACGATGGAGTGTTGAGTGAGCATATTCCACATGTCTCTCGTAAAGAGGATGGTTTTGAGAAGGGAAATCGTGTCGCTGAAGATAGAGTCCCGCGGGGCCAATGCATAAGGTTCCGAGATGAAACCTTGCCGGGCTGCATGGCTGAATACAGCCATCGGGAACTCTGCAAAGTGATAGTGGGATATAATGTATAGGAAATCCTGCATTTCTGGAGGAAGTCGACGGAACGAGACCTCGAAGGCAGTATAAGCACTCGCTCTCTGTC